ACATTCAAGAAGGCTATTCTATTAAATATAAAGCTATTGTAAAGCTATTTTTAAACTATATTTATAATGCTATTTATTAGTTGATAAATATTATGACTAAGTTGATACTATGAATAAGATAAAAGATATTATACTATGATTGCTAATTATTGCTAATTATGGTAATCGCCATTCTGATATGAGATTACTGGATTTGGTAAATCGTTGATTCGTATAAGTGTGACATATTTTATGTGTTACGGGTGTGATCGGACGATGTGTCGGGTGTGTCTGCCTGTACGTCGGAGGCGCTGTTAGAGCCCTATCTGATAATATCTCAATAACGATACTAAATCTGTCCAATATGCATATCGGGTTTGAGAGGTTTAACTTTCATATAATCAAAACTTTAAATAATCACCAAGTCTTTCCCAGTTTGGTAATTATATTAAGACTTGACTGCTTTGTTAATTACATAAATATTCGATTACATGAATTTATTTTTAATTCGAAAGAATGCAGTCAAACGAAACCATAATTCTTGAATTAGGCTTTATTTTATAAACGTGACATATTAAAAAATCTAAAATTTTTTGATGAATAATTATACTTGAATCGACATAAATTAAGGATTTACAAATTCCCCAGTTCCTATAAGACACATAGAAATCCAGCTTTTGATTAGGCCAAACATATTTCATCAGCTTTTGAAACGATCAAATAACGGCACACAAATTAAAGTAATAAAATATATCGTTATAACAGATAAAGGTTTAACATGAATATATATTAAAATTTTACATGAGATTTTTTTTTTGAGTAGGACACGAAAGTCAGCTTTGTAAACAAAATTTTAAGATACTATGATTTTTGAAAATTTCGATTCTTTTTTTGTTGCCTTTGATCATGTGATTTGATTGGTAGATGAAAGTGGCGTAGCCTGCTTTGACCAATCTGAAACACGTCCCAACTGGGTGAGAAGTTAGAGATCCCATAAATTAGCCGAATATTAATATAAAATTATTAAATATTACAATATTAAGACGTTAAATTATGATAATTCTCTCTAAGTTACGTTTCTTGTGTGAAAATTTTAAGCTCAAGTCTTTTCTGCTTCAGAGTACTATAGGCATTTACAAACTTTAAATGGGAGAAATCCCATCATTATCTGCTGTAAAAAGAGATCGATTAATAATTTTGTTAAATATAAGCTGCATAAATATTAATTGAACAATTTTTACATACGCAAATCTTCATCAGATTTCGGAATGGAATCTATATTCAATGATAAAATGCCGGTAGAAATTAAATCTTGAAGTTGCTTGGAGATAGGATTAAGTGATTTGCTCATATATATTTCTTGTGTATATTGTAAAGAGGTAGGAATTAATATCGTCTCAATTATTTTATCCGAATCGGCGAACATCTTTTTAAAATGATCTTCATTTCTCCAACAACGTAACTCTTTCACAATCTCATCAGCAGTTGGCCTTTCAGGAGGATTCGCATGCATACATCTCTTTGCTAATTGAACATAACATTCGGGTGTCCCTTCAGCAATTGTAGGGCGCAAACCTTGGCATATATCAAAAGCAAGTTTCGTGCCATGTGTAACGCCTTCATGTGGTGGTCTACCAGTTGATACTTCCGTCATAATTATCCCAAAACTATAAATATCAGATGCAGGCGTATATGGTTGGCCGATTAATACTTCAGGCGCAACGTAAGGTAGTACTCCGAATATTTCTTTTTCATCAGTTGAACTATTAACTGGTCGAGCTAATCCTAAATCCGCAACATATGATGCCACACCACCATCAGCGTGTCTATTTTGTAGTATGTTGCCACTGTGAAAATCATGATGAATATAACCTTTTTGATGAATCGTTGCTAAATCTATTGCTGCACAACACAAGAATCTTAATTTATTAACCCACTTGAGCTGAGTAAAATTTAATTGAAGGTAGCTTCTGAGACTTCCGAATAAAGCATACTGAAAAACTATCATATAATCTTTTGTTTCTGTGTGTTGCGTAAAGCCATATAATTTAAGGTATTTTTTGTCTTGCGCAAAACATTCATAATGAATTTTAAACTAAAAAAAAATTAAGACAGTCACATATTAAAATATTAATTAATGTATCGTTAAAATTTACTTAATATAATAATCAGCTTACCTCGTCTAAATAATTATCTGGCATATCTTTCGAACCAGACAAATTTTTAAGAGCGATAGTTGATGGAAGCGCTCGAGATTTAATAGTAAAATTTCCATTATTATCTTCTTTTACTTCTCTCATCCCATCTATCCAAATTGCGGAGTATACTTTGCCGAATCCACCTTCACCTATCATTTCCAAGTTTGTAAATTTATTAAAAGTGATCCATTCAAGTGCATTTTCATATTTAGTAGTTGACATCCATGCTTCTTTTAAAAATTCATCAATAGCTCTATTACCAGAACCATTAAACTCATTAAATTCTTTAATCAATTTTAATGGATCACACGATTGACACCAAGCTCGTGCTGTATTAGGTTTATTGCACTCTGTACAAAATCCGTATTCTTCATTTCTTTTATCTTCGAGTATGTCGATATTATGCTCAGTTGTCAGCATGCTTACATGTAAGTTGATTGAAAAAGAAAAGTACAATGCACGCAGGTATGAAGTTAAATAAAAATGGTTGTAGATGTAAATGCATGTTTATAAGTAAAAGGGATTTTAAAAAAATACTAGACACAATATGAAAAATCAAATAAAAACAAAGCTTGGCGTATTTTCTTTATACTATTAATTTAGAAATGATTCAATCAGCCTAACCAAATATGGATACAATTACAAATCATGTGCCGGAAGTTGATCACTTGGTTCGTCAGTAAATCTACGTTTAACGATATTGTAAAAATAAGTTCTCGTAAACTTGAATTATTAAACTTAAACGAATATACGAATGATGTCAATTCAATGTGGATATGTTATTAAGCAAAATATTGTCAAAGTAAATTCTCATTATTTAGAATTACCAAACATACTCGGCTGTTAAATACAAATTAAATGACGTTGCAAAAGGTAAGTCCTTGTAAGCTTGAATTTCATACACACGAACAAAATTAGTGTGAAACAAAAATTGATTAGGTTGATTCAGTAAAATAATATTCGTAAACAATTTGATTGCAAATTCAATAAAATAATATTCGTAAACAATTTGATTGCAAATTCAAGTTTTTTTTTTTAACTTGAATCGCGCGTAAATAAATTTCCTCCATAACGTGGACAAATTTGTTTGGAAAAAAAAATAGTGTAGAATTTAAAAATTTATAATTAAGGATTATTTACCGCAATTGTACTGTTGTAATTAAATTTTCCAATCTTGTTGAACCAATAAAATGTAACAACTTTCTTGTATTAACGTACAAAATTTTCTATTTATTACCGAGTTTTTATATCATGTGCATTGCCAGTGCCGATAAACTAACAGTCTATGAGTTTCTTGTAGCTACTGTTGTGGGGTCAACCTGTTTTTTAAAATTCGTCTAGTGATTTTAGCTTCGCTCCTATAGGTTACACCAATTTCTAGATGATTTTTTTGTAATAAATTAAGTTTAGCCCACAAAAGTATTTTTTGGGTATGTTGGTGAAACAGCCCCGGATAAAAGTTAGATAAATAAGTAAAACAAATGTGTAACAAATGTAGTACAATTAGTTTTTATACAAATTACATAGTAATCATAACCAAAGTAGTATTTAATAAATATAATTTTTTTCGTTTAAAAAATTATTATTGATTTTGTGTCAAAATTAATAATACAAAGTTTAAGATTTTGTTCTTTGTTATTTTATAACAATTATGGATTGTTCTGAATTTGAGCTTCTTGAATCTATTCTTTATGAGCCACCTGATGGTATATATTATTTTTTTTAATATTAGACCATTTTTTAAAAAAATTTTTTTTGAATTAAAATTTTTTAATTTTTTAATATTTAATTATTTAATTTTATATTTTATTTAGGATTTTTTTTACTTGATAAGCATTTATCACGTTTAAGAAACTCTGCTAAATTTTTTTTTCAAGATCCAAATTATGGATTTTTTGAAAATTGTACATCTTTAGAGTTTAGTAAAACAGTTAAAGCAAGACTAATTCAACATGTTGAAAGCCTTGATAAAGATGTTAAACAAAGGGTATTTATATAATTTTATAATGCTGTTATCAGCTTATTATTAATATCATCACCAATATTATCATTAACATCATAAATCATCATTATGTCATTATAATTAACTTTAATTTTGTTATCATCATTGTCATTATAATTAACTTTAATTTTCGTTATCATCACTATATTATACAAAACTTAATATAATTTCTTAAACATGAAGGTTAGATTGACAGTAAGTAAGGATGGAGAAATAGATATTACTAGTGCTACCTTAGATAAACTATACACACCAGCATTATTAGAAGGTTAGTTTATTATTTTATTAAAATGTTTAAATGTATACGTAATAAATTTATTATTTTTAAGTCTTAATTTATCTTCGTTTAACTTATGTAGAGCCGTTGAAAATAAAGTTGGATACAACATTTACTCCTTCAGACAATATCTTTCTTACACATAAAACAACTAATAGAAAGGTTTATGACGAAGCTAGAAAACGCGTATGTTTTAATAATCATATTAATAATGATATACATTGTATACAGTATAATCCAATAATTAAAATTTATTATTTTAGTTAGGTTTAGGTCCAAAGCCGGGTTCTGATTCGAAGAATAATATATTTGACACCTTATTATTTAATGAGAAAAACGAAATTACAGAGTGTTCGATTTCTAATATTGCTGTTCAATTTTATGATGAAAATAAAAAGCTCTTTTGGAAAACTCCTAAAGTCGAATGTGGTAATGTACTTTTTCTTTTAAAATGATTTACGTATATACTAGTTTATCTTACATCATATTATTATTTCGTACTACTGAACAGGATTGTTACCAGGAGTAATGAGAGAAAACTTAATTCAGAAAGGAGAGATTACTCACGGGGTAATTAGCGTTGAAGAAATAAAGGCTGCACAACTAGTATGTTTTATTTCCTTAAAATATTTAAATATTTACATATTGCCATATTGAATTTTCTTGATTTATAGGAAGGAAGGAAGATTAAGTGTTTTAATTCTGTAAGAAAAGAGTTTCTAGTGGAGTTAGTTGACTAACCCTTGTCATAAATTTTGTTAATTATAGCGTAAAAATTAAGTTTAACAATTAGTTTAAAAATTAAGCTTAATATTTAAATTAAGATTTTCATAATTATATTGTTATTAGTACTACATTTAAGTTTCGATTAATATGGTTAATTTTTAAATTTTTCAAAATGTGGATCACCACAAAGCATGTTATGTTTTCTTAATAAGGAATTTATCTATAACAATTATGTTTATTGTTTTAAAAAAAATGTATTTCTTTTTTTAGAACAAATTTTCTTAGTTAATTTATAAGACGAAATAAGAGCATTAAAGATGACATTATTATGAAAAGGAATAATAAACACTCTGTGTTAACAATTGTCGTTACTATGAATTCTTGCGTAAAAGAGTTGGATATTATAATTATTGTTACTATGAATCCTTACGTAAAAGGCTAGGATGTATTAACTAAATTTTCAATTTAAAGCATTGATGTTAATGAAAAATTTACAGTTTTAAATTTTAAAACTCTAAAAGGAATTTGGATTATTGATTGCGGGTTTGAAGGTTGAAACATTAATGATTTTGAATTTCGGCACTATATAGTCGCTAGGAAAACTTAGAAGTTTATCAATGAAACCTGGTTTCGACTTTTACTAAAAATTAAGGGCGAAGCTGGGAACATTATTGGAAGGCGAAATAGCGAAAGGAATTAAACCTAAAAAATTTTAACAAAATATGATTTTGAAAATAATGGTGTAACGTGTCGCTTCACTAACAACCTAAATTTTGTACGCATTATTTGTGATTCTTTGTACGGATACACAATCTAACTGTATGTTTAATCGCCTAAATTTTTCAGATATCTCAAGAATTAACTGGCCAGTTACAATACAAACATATTTGAGATTCTACGGATCTGACATTGCCTTTCAGTATCATAATATAATCCGGTCATTCTTGGGATATCTCTGTTCAAATTTTAAATACATTATAATTGTAAAATTTTATCTCAAGAACAAATTGATCATTTTACAATGTTCATTTTTTTTAATTTTGAATCCTATAATCCCCTATAAGAAAAATGTACTGTAATTGTATGGGTTGGCTACGGGTTTCGGTGGCACGGATCAAACCCGGGTTTTGTACGTAAGAGGCTCGAAGTGGCACGGATTTTTGGCTCGTGT